TCAACCATTTGAAGTGTCTTTTGAGGATAAAATTGTGACATAACTTTGATATCTAAAATTGATCCAAATAGTGTTGTGTGAACAAACTTAGGATAAAATGTTCTGCATCAAATGTGAGTGAAAATGAGATTTCAAACACAAACTCTTATTTTTTTTCATCCTTAATTGGAGAATGGAAAAGTAGTTCCAAGTATGAATCTTACTTTTACTAACTTGAATATAAGAGAATTTTCTATAATCTACTAATAACTTGACTATTAATCATCGAAGGTAGAAATTTGGCTTCCTAATAAATAATACTACATTTTTCCACCTTAAGAGAACCACACTTATATGTAGGACAAGAATTATCCGATCTGATTATTACAACCACCATACATAAGTAGTGATCAAGTCAGACGAAATTAGTTAATGTCATTTCAGTCTATTTGAGGCAATAACACCTCGATCTAAAGTTACAATATAATATTTATTGCAATATCTAAATTTTCCTTAAGTATAATTACATTCTTAAAATAAAATTGACAAATTCAATCAAATAAGGATCAAACTGTAAATAATATATATCCGTAACGAATTATCAAGTAAATACATCTTGACACAAATTTAAATTATTTACTTAAAACACATCAATTAACTTGAATCTTTACAAGGATTCATCTTTGTTGCATCATTCAAAGATTAAGGAAAAATATCTTCTATCTTAGGTGAGATAACTATTTTTTTAATAAGAACAGTTTTGAAGTTTTTTTGTAATAAAAAACTTAAAAAATAATTATTGGTAATAAATTGTAAAAGTCATTTTAATAATTAAATATATTTTTGAAATATTTTATCACTTTATTTATTCATTGTAATTGAGGCCTGGTGAATACAAATAATTACGCTTAAGAGGTATCTGAAAATTCTATTCATATTTTATTGCCTATAAAATATAAACATTTACATTCATAAAAGTGTGAAAATTCTCTGCACTGTTCTGTCCTAACAATATATATTACATAATATAATGTGATGTTATGTAAAGTAACGTGATATTTAACTTTTTTTTTTTCTTTCAAGAATTTGAATTTTGATAAGTATTATTGTGTCGTATTATTGGACCTGTCTTTTTGCAATTCATTTGACTTCCACGAAAATTATTAATTTTCAATTATAAATAATTTAAATTACTCAAAAACTGCGCTTCTATTTGATATCATAAACATCATTAATACTCTTAATAATCATAAAAGCTTAACTACATAATTAGCAGTAACATTATATTTTGAGATACCACACTTAATAAAACTGTCAATTGGACGAAATATTTAAAAAGAAAAAATAAAAGTTAGAAAAATGTTCTGTTTTACTTTCTAAACCACAATTAGATACATGATAATGTTCTCATTCTAAAATTACCAAATGTAGTATAATTTATTTTCTATTTACAATCAACGACCAATTTAGTTCATAAAAAAATAATAATTTATAATATCATTAGTACCGCACCGACCCATATTTAGAATAAAGTTCTTATGCTCAATCAATCATCTAATCTACATAATATATTAATTATTCTAAAATAAAAGAAAATTTAAATATTGTTTTCTGGTCGAGACTAACACTATATAAAAAGACTATATTTATTTATTGATTCAGGTTAACAAAATTTTGAATAATAAAAATAATTAAATTTTATCAAAATAATTATAAAATTTATAATATAGTTAAATGTATGAAAATACATAAATACTTCACTCGGATAAAATTCCATGCCTCAAATTAATATAAAAACATAAACAATACATTTTTTATTTTTATTTTAACATTCACACCACTATTTAATAAGTTTTAGGATATGTTTACTTTAGAAGGATGAATTAGGTGGAAAGAGAGTGAATAGATTTGAGTGGATTTGAGAATAAGTTGATTATTATTTTTTTTTAGAGGATTTGAAGGTGAGTGAGAGTGAACTTAGAAATATTTGAAAATTAGTGTAGAATTTGAGTGATATAACAAATAAAAAACTGATTTAATTAGTAAAAATTGAAAATTACTAAAATTCTCTTAGTAGTACAAGTAATATAAAATGATAATTGCTAATAATATATAAAATTATAAAAATTATTATAAGGAGAAAAAAATATAAATTAATTTTTAAAATATAAAAAAATTGTATTTAAATAAAGTAAACTAATTATTTTACACCAGCACCGGAACCTAATACAATGTCACCTTCATTAAATTTGTTTTGTGGAGTGGAACCGAATACCTCACAACTAAGACCGAATATAAGACGTGAAGGACCGAATATATGGTCTTTTTCAACCTCCTTCAAGATTTTTTTCTTTATCTTCTTCATCTTCAATCTCTCTGCTCTTCATCTATACGGATGTAGTATTTTACAAAATGTTGAGGACAAAACTAACATTTTAAAGAAAATCACTCCAAATCCGAACAAATTCGTGAGTGATAAAAAAAATCCATATATAAATCCATCTTTAGGTACATGTTCAAATGAAAACAATTCATCTCTCAAATCCATTCTCCCTTTCTTTTTTCAAAATATAATAATATAATGGGAACATAAGAATAATAGTGAAAAAGAAATATACTAAATAGTAAAATTTAAAAAATCCAACTACTAGTATTACGAGCAATAAAAACACTTACAATTATGGTTTGATAACAAAGATGATAGAGATGAACTTTTTGAAATGAGAACATACTTAGGTTTTGGAATTTGGAGAAAAAGTAAAGCGAGTGTAAAATGTTGAATGAGAAAAATTGGGAGAATGGTGAAAAATATATTATAATTTGTGTAGGTTATAAATATTTTCAATAAAGAATTAAAATCACTAATATTATTAGCTTTTATACAACTTCCCATAATCATCTTAATAAATATTAATTTGCAGAGAGTTTTTATTTTCTCTACAAAATAATCTCTATTAAATATCATTTTTTTTTACTCAGTATGAACATGGGTAATTGATTTTTCAATTGTGTATGGAGAAGTGGATGAACATGTATATATTTTTCCTGTCCTTGTACCCGCTCTAATACTCATTCCTATCATGATTCCTATTTCCAATAAACATTTCCAATATATATATATATATATATATATATATATATATATATATATATATATATATATATATATATATATATATATATATATATATATATATATATATATATATATATATATATATATATATATATATATATATATATATATATATATATATATATATATATATATATATATATATATATATATATATATATATATATATATATATATATATATATATATATATATATATATATATATATATATATATATATATATATATATATATATATATATATATATATATATATATATATATATATATATATATATATATATATATATATATATATATATATATATATATATATATATATATATATATATATATATATATATATATATATATATATATATATATATATATATATATATATATATATATATATATATATATATATATATATATATATATATATATATATATATATATATATATATATATATATATATATATATATATATATATATATATATATATATATATATATATATATATATATATATATATATATATATATATATATATATATATATATATATATATATATATATATATATATATATATATATATATATATATATATATATATATATATATATATATATATATATATATATATATATATATATATATATATATATATATATATATATATATATATATATATATATATATATATATATATATATATATATATATATATATATATATATATATATATATATATATATATATATATATATATATATATATATATATATATATATATATATATATATATATATATATATATATATATATATATATATATATATATATATATATATATATATATATATATATATATATATATATATATATATATATTATTCTCTTAAAATCTTTTGTTTTGTAATAATTATTTTTTTCCTTACATATTTTTTATCTCTTCTAATTATTTGGTTTGGTCATTCACGAAATCTACTTACATCTTCAAGGTAATTTTTCTCTTATCAAGTTATGTTCAAATAATGTATTATCAAATAGTTTTTATTTCTTACATTTAACTCTCAATTACAAATATTCAATAAAACATTAATTTAATAAGTAATATATAAAACATGTTATTTATTCTCTTCCATTTTTTATTTTGTTTCATTTAGAAAACTTTTGTTTTATTAAAAAAAAATCATTATCTCTCAACAATTAGTTTGATATATAAAAGGTTTTCTTATATCTCCAAGTTTTTTTTATCTTATTATATCTTTAATTATACATTTTTTTTAATTTTATTTAACGACATATCAAATTATTTATAAAATGCACATTTGATTGCTTTAACTTTTTTTAAAAATTTATTTATTATTTATTTTTATCATGTAAAATACTAATTTTTGTTTCTAATAACTTATTTTCATTTTCTAACTCTTTATATAAGTATAATTTTATCATAGCCTAAAGAGATTTTGTTTACTAACTTAATCTTATAACTTAATGTCACGGTCACGAATCTTATTTATCATCCTCCAAAATAAATTAAAGTACAATAAATGAAATATTTATATTGAATTTCAATTACTATCAGTCTAATATTTGTGTGTATGTGTTGTATTATAGTTTCAAATATTTTTGAACTAAAATATTTGTTTTTTTACAATTTTTTAAAATTACTTTTTTATTTTACTAATTTTGTTTCGTTAATGTTTGCGAAATTAATAAATATTTTGATTCTCATGAAATTGTATTGGGTACTATATATTAAAATATATATATATATATATATATATATATATATATATATATATATATATATATTTATATTTATATTTATTTTAATGTTGTTATAAAAAGGATTCACAAAATCAACTGCTTTATTTTAATATCATAGTGGGAAAATACTGATATCCACCTGTGTTTAACCTACAAAATTACAAATTTAACCAGGATTACTAACACAAAGTTCAAAAACAGAAAATCCTATGACATAATAAAATGTAAATCCACAAAATCTGGTGCTAAACAATAAAAACAAAGCAGGTCCATTTGTAGTTTGTGCAGTATCTATGAATCAAAGCATGCGATCAGTTTTTGCAGGCAGCCCTGTGAAGAAATTCAGAGGTACTGAAGGAAGCTTGTGCTGGGACCTGGGTTGTTGTCTCAACACACCTAGGAGAGGATAGGAGAATCATAATTTTATATAAAACACCAATAAAAGAAAGCAAATTATCTAACAATGTATCCAATAGAAATTATGACAAATTCGCAGACATGTTACAGCAATATTCACCCAATGTTATATAAATTATGGGATCATTTGGGTTGGAACAAGTAGACATCTAGAACTAGAGTAATGTTAAAGGGCAAGGTCTGGTTCATCATGGATTGTTTCAAAGAGCTTCTCAAAAACAGGGCAAAACCTAGTCTAAGAGGAAAATTATATATATTCATGGCATCATCTACCTTGCCACAATAGAAAAAAGGCAAATTTTAGCAGCAAGCTTCAACCTTTTCATAACCCATTTGGTATTAGCATTATACTTTTATAGTAATCTTATATAATATACCTGAACAACAACCTCATCTTCTTTTAGATCTTCAATAAACTGGTTTGTGGTTACTGGTCAATGTGGCTGCTTGCTCCCCTGCAAACAAATAACTAGTTAGAATAGCAATATTTGATGCTACATATAAACACAATTTATTAAGGTTAGTGAAATTATGTGTAGATAATGTTTAAGACCTTCAAATTTTTATTGGGGCTAATGCTGAAAGAAAGTAAATGGAACTGAAATCAAAATTTTATGTTTACAAATACAAGTTTATTAAAAGCATCGTAATGATTTTGTACTATTACCGTTATCTTGAGAAGAGCCATTAGAGCTTTCAATAGAAGTTTTCCTTGACCAATACTGTTGGAACCTCTGTTCTGCATATTCCTTGTACTTAAAGCCAATTTTATTTACATGCACCTCCACAAGGAATTCAGAAGATAATTAAATACCATTTATACCAAAATATTTTATATTCATTTGGAAAATCTATATTATGTAGAATCATCCTTTTGGAAAATTTACAATATTTTAGACTATTTATTTCAATAACTAGACTACAATTTGGTTATTCATGAGTGCAATAATCCCCATGATGCTTTTATTAATGGAAATAGTATAGATACTAAGAAGCTTAAAAATAGAATAATCAATGCTAAAGTGAGAAAGTGACGATTACCGAAATCATTCCCCAAATGTCCCAATACAGATGTCTTGCACGAGCATACTTCTCAACTTCATCAAGCAATTGCTCGACTCAGTGGTTTAAGGGGTGAGTTGACATATATTTAACTAATATTTCTCATTATGAGAAATGATACTAACTAATAATAACTAATATTTCTCAATTCAAAAAGGTTTTCTCTAGATTAGTAATACAATTGATTATTCATATACCACGGTATTTAGTGAAGTCGAGAATATGTGGGGTATGTGTGATAATTGGCAGCCATCTCATTGAATTGGTTTGCTGTATCATATGCCACACGATTGAAACTTGCATATTCACAATCCTGTTATAAAAGTACAACATTCATTATTTGTTCGTATGCAAAAATTTACATTCTCTAACTAGTTTGAGCAATAAAAGTAAACAATTATTAGATGGTAATACTCAATACTATAAACAAGGACTCACTATAATGGTGACAACAGAAGACTCTTCATAAAGCATTATGTTACCATATTGCAAATCGTTGTGGAAAAATCCTATGCATTGCTTACTGCCTCATAAGTTATTTTCCAAAGTAGATATTCCTTGTCCAAACTGTTCAGTTTAAATGCTTCAACATCTTCAGGAGAACTCAAGCGTTTGGCTTCCTTAAGTCAATCTGTGAAACATTAAAATAAATTTATGTTTATCAAATTGAACTGATTAATTCATATGTTTATCAAATTATGCAGTAGTTATATAAGTAGTTTATATAACTACTGGCCCATGATTTGCCAAAAAGAAAATACAACTCAGAAAATAACATAGAATTGTTTATCTATATAACTACAATCCCTATCTCATGAAACTAGGAACCATGTAACAACACTGTCATTGCAAGTTTCCCTATCAAACATACTATCCCAAAAAACAATAAAATTTTAAGAATAACAAAAGAAAAAGAACTACGAATAAAAGGGAAACCCTGCATTAACAGCTACAACCCTGCATTACAGGTTACAGGTTTGTTGTTCTAGGTTACATAAACAATGCAATCCCTTTTACCTATGCCAACTTCCAGTGCTCACCATACATGAACAAGTACAATCCTAACCCAGCAGAGATTAAGATTGTAAAATCCAAAACTGAACCAATTTACGTGTAAATAAAAGTAGAACGTTTTTGCTATAGAATAGACAGATAAATCTCACACCATAAGAATGATAAACTTGTAATATTAGAGAAATTATAGCTAATTAGATCCAAACACGAGAAAGAGAAAAAAAAAGGACCTAGCCAACTGTAGGGAGTATGCTCTTCTGAATTCGTGATCGTTCTCAACTTGTGCTTCTGCTCCTAATGAGCAAATGAAGAAAGTGAACCTATAACTAGATGAAATGAATCAAATCAGAATAAGATGCCAAATCTGAATAAAAAAATTTGCAAACTAGTTAATAAGAAATGAAACTCCTAACCACTGGTTTATAATGCAATTTTTTTTTATAATTATTCACAAATAAAATGGAATGAGCTTAAACGAATCATTAGTTTTCAAATTTGAAAAATAGATTTCTCTATATTGAATGATTACGAAAGAAAAAGCATCTAAACAATATTTGACCCTTTTCTTCAATTTTATACTCCTAAAAGTGGCATGCTTATTATTTAAAACATTTTCAAAATTGTATAATGATCACGCCTGTTGCTTACATTTAACAAAGTATGGTCAATGGTACCACAATTAACTTGTTGCTAAGATGGGTTTGCCTCTGATAACATATTTAAGATTCAGCCATGGCTTATTAATTTAGACTCTTAAATAAACCATGGACTCTGATATCAGAAGTTGTGTAGGTTCAGTATATACACGTATCCATAGATCTCCATACTAGTAAGATATTGTTCACTTTGAACTAAGTCCTCACGGATTTGCTTTTGGTACCACTCCAAAAGGCCTCTTAATAAGGAAAATATCTTATGTGTATATAAACTCATGTTATTTCATATTTTATCCGTGGGATGTTATGTGTATATAAACTCATGTTATTTCATATTTTATCCGTGGGAGTGTGTTTGTACTCAACGCTTCTATACATCTTTCTTCTCATAAGAATGGAAGTCCTTCGTAGGATAAGCAGATATCAGCATATTCATTATCAACATATGTGCTCTACTAGGGTGGGAATGCTGGGGCTGATTAGGCAGAGAAACCATGAGGATCAGGTTCACCTTATCTCGTACTGTTTAACATATTAGTTTTGAATACAAATTCTTGCTTAACATATTAGTTTCACTTTCTATGTGTCGTGTTTGTGTCAAGATCACGAGCCTCTGCACTGCCTATGAGATCTTTCTTTACTATTAACAAGACTGCAAGTCTCCAGCTTTTCCTTCGGCTCTAAGCTTTTGGAGCATTAAAATGAACCGTTGTCAAGGCAGCTTGAGCTTATAATTTGCAACCAAAGCACTTTTAAAATTAAGCCACACCGAAATACGAATTCTATGAATTTCATAACTAATAGTAAGAAAAGAACAAATCCACAAATCACATTTTTGATTCCAAGGTGAAAGGCTGTGTAAATGGGACCCTAACCTGTTGGAGAAGACCATGCGATGTGAAGAACACTGCGTTTCTGAACGTCGAAGCAGAATCCGATGCTAATCTTCTTAAGAAAGATGCGGTGAAATTTTCCATTAACAATTAATTATATATTACTGGCATTTCAGTTTTAAAATGTACTGTTTGTTTTGGGTTCAGAACTCTATAACAAAGGTCAGCCCAAATACAAAGATGGGGACTATTTTCATTGTCCATTGTCCATAATTTATTGGACCATTATGCATCTAGTTATATTGTTACTTTTTATCACTGGCTTTCTGCTATTCCGGATTATTAGTGAGTGTTAAACATAATTTTTTTAATCACATTAAGTGTCAAACTTAATAGTAAAACGACTCTCCTAACAATTTTCATTAGAAGAGAATTTCATCAATCCATATATATAAGCAGGCTTAAAATAAATTTTATTGACACTTCTTAAGCTTAAAATTTAATCTATCTTAAATAATATGAAAAACCAATCATAGATCTGAAGCTAATTATAATAAAAGCTTAAAGTCTAAACTTTAGTGCAAATATACAGCGTTTTAGGTTCATAAAATGTTTATGACAATACTACTGGCAACCTTTTTTATTCATTTAAACATTGACAAACAATGCATAAAAAAAACGATATGAGAACATATATATAACTATGGGTGTTCTACACATCCATGACGCGCTTCCTTGTTATATGTAAAATCAATGTCATCAAAGCATCCACCCAGAGGCGAATCCATGCATACTCAAGGATGAAGCTCCAACGTTTGCATCATCACCACCAATCTGGTTGAATCTGTTATCAACAAACACACTTTGAAGTAAATATATGCATATCTATATGTATAAACCAAAATGTGTTTGAGAATTTTTTTCTGGGAATGACTTTACCCGATTTGCAAGTTGGAATTCACTCCTGCTGGTTGGAAGAATCCCTCTGTTTGAGGAGGAAAGTTTGTGTAATGGATGTTAGGTCCTCCAGCTTCCAAAGCCAGACTCACTTGTGAGTTATTACTTTCTTCCAACTGTTTCAATTTCAACACAAATCATTTTAAACCAAAACCTAAGTTAAGTTGAACCTTTAGGTGCACTATCAGTATATGGATAAAAATCTGTCCATTTCCTCATGTTTACTACCCAATGGAACATTGACAATGCTTCATCAAATAATTGGAGTTTCATCAGATCACCTATATATAACTTCAGAACTTCAAATAAATAAAAAATAGCATTTGAATTGGAAATAGTTGTTACCTTACTCCTTAACACATTGTTAGTTTCAACTAGCAATGTTTCCTGCATTCAGTTTGTGAAAGCCAAGGTTACACCAAAGAATAAGACAGTGTCAGAAACTAAGGATGAAAAAACGCAAGCATACCCGGTGGTGAAGATCAGCAAGCTGGTCAAGCATGAATTGAGTCTGAAAAAATTGTAAAATATTTGTTACAATATCCAAGAAATCTTAAGGTAAAACACAAAAGAAGTGAAAGCATTTGCGAAGAGCTAAGAAGTAGAAATAAGTTGATAATACTTATAAGTGAAATTGAAGTTGTCCAATAAGTTATTACCTTTGTTGACCTAATATTCTTCAGTGCTACCTCTAGTTGATTCTCTAGCTGCTCAAGATCAGTTGTATTCATTTGGGCAAGATCTTCCCCAAGTAGGTTCCTGCATCATTTATAATCAATGACAGCAAAATATTCATATAAAATACAAAAGAGCTTAAACAAAAAAAAAAAAAAAAAGATACAATATCAGATTTAAGACCAAAACCACAGGTACCAACAAGGTGCATTAATTTCATGGAATCTCTTCTCATGTTAATTACCTTTGTGATCGTTGCAAGACTTCTACCCTTGCTTTTAATCTCAAATATTCCTGGTAGTTCTGTCAAATGACATATTTCTTGTTAGATACTTAATATATCTATCACAAAGTAGATATTTTCTTTTTTGTTAACAAAATTAGTAAGAAGGAATCACCTAAAGGTTAAACAAGTTAACAGCAAGCAATGGTTACTAGACAAACTCGAATCACTAGGGCTCAAACTGAGTTGTCTTTTTCAGCAAAAGATTATTTCATATATCACAAATAGAATGCATGACAAAAAGCTAGGTCATTGGAGAGGTGATACAGTAAGGAAAAAAAACAGATATATTTATATGGAGAGAATTCATAAAGTCCACGGAACCTTTCTTTAAACCAAGAAAATGATTTCTTTTAATACAAGAAGATTTACCTGAATGTCGTTAATTGGTCGGGTGGTCTCCAGTGCACTGTAACTGTACTTCTGGTACTTCTCCAGTGTTTTCATCATACTGTGTTACAAAAAAATCACTCAATAAAAACTATGGGATCATTGATCTGTAAACGAGGAAAACTTTTGAACAAAAAAATGAAAAATGATAAGGTTTAAAACTGCAATTTTTAGTGAGAAAAGCGTACACCCCAAACCCTAGAAAAAGAAAAGTGCATGCTTTTATATATATACATATACATATATATATATATATATATATATATATATATGTGTGTGTGTGTGTGTGTGTGGTGTGTGTGTTAGAAAATCAACAGGTTTTGCTCTGTTAAGTTCCCTAAAATTGCACCATTTAAATGTTTACGGCTGTGACTTTAGTAACCAGTGTTAAAATATCTTAAAGTTTGAACTTTGGTGTTCCCTTTGCTTAGATTTATATGGAAGATGATTATTTGAAAAGATAAGTATTGTATTGTGTCACTTTTAGGAGTTAAAACATCACTTTTGATGCATTTCCTATTCTTTATATATTTTGAGTCTGTTATAGGATTTTTCAAACATTGTTAATGGCATGTTGACAGGGAGAGAGGAATCATCTTAGCCGACATTTTTGTATTATTTATCTTGATTTGTGTCCAGACATTGAGTTAAGCTGAATTATTGATCACATTACAAACTTCTATGCTTCAGGTATTTTCATTTTTTTTCCACCTTGAACATCTAAAATGCATAAAATTTTAACATCCAACTCATTCAGCCTGTGGGTATATTATAAAATGTGTTTTGTTTTATCTTTATTAAGAACACTTTCACCCAATCCTAAGCTATTAATTACATCATTAAGTTTGATATCAAACACTTAGTTTTATAAATATATTAATCTGACGTTGTGGCAATTTGATGATAATATAAAACACTATCAAAACAGTGAAAAATTAAATTAACCAAAACAAAAGTAATAACTAAGTAAATGAACTTAAGGTCAAACAAATAAAACAAAAAAAGAAAAGAAAAAGCAAAACCTTTTACAAAGTAGATTTAAAGCAAAAATATTTTTAACTGGGGATTGTGACCACAAATGCAGAAGAGTTCATAAATGGAACCATTTTTTAATTATAACCAGCAGGTAACCCGTCAAAGATTACGTTTTTGAGTGACATACAATGATCCAATGGTTATACAGCAATGACAATAACCATAATACACTAACGTTTGGAGGCGTTATATTAATATCATTATGAAAAAAGCCGAAAACAATGACGCTTCTTGATAGAACACGGACACCAGCATTCGTATATATTCAAAGTCCTGAAGCCTAAGACAGTTTTTCAACAATCAAGCAAAACTTACTACAATAACAGCCCCAAACACATTCCAGTGCACAAGAGAGACTTCTATTGGAAGAAAATAAGAAGAAAGTTTGATGTAAAATGTCACTGAATGAAGAGAAGAGAAAGTGAAAGGAAGAAGATATAGATTAACGGAGAACTGGAAGGGATCAAGACAGATAAAA